GGTGGTTGTGAGATTGGTCAAATCTACCGAACCCATACAGAGATTAATTACTGAAAATAACAGATAAAATATATGTTTTTTCTTATGACATGATTGATAACTATCTGGACATTATAAAGATTTTACATGTGAATTTTAAAAAATTTTCTGATGCATAAAAGTATTTTTAATCTTGAAATGAATATTACTTTGTATGACAGATAGGCAACATGTGAAAAGAAAAAAAAAGACATGAGAAAAACATTGCTTTACAAACCTTAAAACTTAATATAAATATTAGATATTTTGAGTATGAAAGCATTGTAATGTTTACTGATAATCTGCCAAATTTCTTTAACATTTGCATACTAATTTAAAAGTTATGGTGTGAAAACTATAACAAGCACAAAATGGTTACGAGGTCAGTCCCAGGAACTGAGCTTGTGCTGAAAGAGTTAATATCTAATCTTTGGTATATTTATTATCAAATGTATCCATTATTAAATATTTTATTGGGTTTCTTCCATGTAACATTAGGATATATTTCCCTATGTAATATCAATTTGAGATATTCTCAGATTTATTCCTATATGAACTTGTCATGTTACAAGAGTTACAAAGATCAAGTTTATTATGACAAGAAAACAAGAAGAAATGTATTTAAAATTCATGTTATATATTTTTAAAAATACAAGAAAAAATTATTCTAAACAACAAACTCAGAGAATCAATGTATTTTGTTAATGTTTTGTTTTTAGAAATTGTTTTTAGCTTATAACATGAATGAGCCAGTACCTTGCAGACCATTTAATTTAATATCATTACACATTTTGGATAATTGTTGATGATTTAGAAGCTGTAAACTGTCTGGATAAAGTTAAATTGAGAGTTTTTGTAATGAACACATTCCAATAAACTTGTTGTAAAAGCATTATTACTGGTATTTTTAAAAATATAAGTATTTTCTCCATGACAGCTTGATCTGACAGTGTTGGCTGCATTACCTAAAGACTTACAAGAACAGATCCAGAGAGCTTACCATGATAAACATTTATCCAACGTGGGTAGTGAGATCCTTGCTCAAGCTTCATGTTCAAAAGTGGAGGTTCTACAGCCAGTCGAAGAAAAAATTTCTTCTGAGACAGGAGAAAACAGGAATACAGTGAACAAGACGAATTGCTTGAATTCTGGTGAAATTACCAGTACAGAAATAACATCTGATGCAAAACCAGAACCCAATCAAAGTGTCCAATCTCGTGAGAAAAAATTTTTCTCTAAAATAGTAGGAAACGAAGAGTGTGTAGAAGATAAAACTTTTCCTGAACTTAAAGGAGAGAAACTACTTCTAGAAAAGTCAAGTTCTTCTTCAACAGGAAGAAGTGAACGATGTTTGGAGAACACAAGTTACTTTGTTCCAGAAGATGGTTTTACTTCTCGAGAAGTAAAAGAGTTGGAGAAGCAAATGTCATTATTTGGATCAGGAGGAAGTGCCCAGTTAACGAAACAGTTGAGTAATACTGAAGTAGATGGTACTGTGCTGAATAGGGAGAAGGAGCCAGATACTGTTCCTGAGGTACGAGTAAAAAACAAACTTGGTGTTCATCTAAGATTTTAAATACAAAGCTGAGGAGATGTTTAAAATCTGCTACATACACTGTTTTGTCACAAAATTCAAGCACTTGGTGAACATTATTGTAACTTACTAAAATGAACTGTTTGTACTTTTTAGACATTAATATGAAGAAGAAAATATAAGGGTTTATGGATTCAATCAATTGTTTAGGATTCATGTAATGTCAGATCAAACATTGAATGTTTTAAACCTAACTAGTGGTCTTATCAGTAATTAACTGATTAATTTGTTGGTTTGATCATGGAGCTAAAGATGTTTGATCTGACATTACACGAATCACTAGTTAGGTTTAAAACATTCAGATTCTATCAGTCAATTGAATGTGTTTTCTTCCAACCATGAAGAAACTGTTTCAAGTACAGTAAGGGTCATGTTTAATTCATTCTAGAAACATCACTATTAATTAAGGCCTTGAATTTATTGAACCAATCATAACACACAGACAGTTTGCATTGTAGTTATCAAGTATTGAGTTTAAGTACTTTTACTGACTCTGTTACTTCTGGTTATTGCCACAGTCAGTATTCAGCAAATTAATATTGAGTTGATTGGACAGTTAAGTCACTTCAAAATTATTTTTACATATAATATATATAATGAAGCTAGTTACAAGTACTCTTGATCTTAATATTTTTAATTTTTTAAGTATTTCTTTCAAATGCTTCAAATTACCATTCTTTTCTAACCAGTGAAAATAAAACTAATGTTCACTGTTATAGTCCTGTTAGTTGAGAGTATCTGCTAGTTAGTAAGAATATAATATTAGACTTTACTTGCAAGAAAATTGTTTAAGATTTTTAGAGTTCTTTTTAGAATCAAAGCATAAATCACATTTTATAATATTATAAAACAGTTTTCTTGCAGAGCAGTCAGTTAGCCCTGATAACTGGAGGTTCGGAGAATACCAGACTATGGATTATAATAATATCTCGTATCTATGATGAGGGTAGGTCAATGGAAAATAATTGACACTGAATGGTTGACAAGTACAAAAATAATTGTTATTTACACTCAAACAATGACAATACAAGGGAAAGTGTTTCTTGGGGTGTGTCAAACTGATAAAAGCTTGAAGACTATTTAAAAGCTCTTATCAGTTTAATGTGTCTCACTCTATAAATTTAATTAAACCTTAAACTTAAAATAAAATTGAAACCACAAGTTAAGCTAAAAACAAAGTAAAATCTGAGTTAAGCTTGGATATCAGAAAAAATTCAGCCACAATCTAACAAAACAATTAAACTTCTCCAAATTTAATCTAACTAAAGCTACTCCAAACAAGACCCACAAGTTGAAGTTTAAAGCTACACAAGTTAGTTAGCTTAACTAAAAAGTCCTTTAAGATAAGAGAAAATTAAGTTCAAAATGTTTTATAATTATCTATCTTTTAAGGGTAAACCTAGGTTTTTATACCAAACAAAATACCCAAATAAAACCAAAGTCTGCGTACGAAATGCACCTCACATTTCAGACCTGTGTACACTGAGAACTAAGCTCTAAGGCATGGCTACTACTGATCTTTATCCAATTCACCGACAGAAAATATGGCTTTTATCTTCCCAGCATATGGTCTGTGAGTTGCCAGTTTGTAAATCCACATCTTGCTTGCTTTTCAAACTGAGGAAGATAAAAGTGTTACCTGAGTGAATTTCTACATGCAAGCTGAAAAACATAACAATTTACATCTTAACTAAGGGGGTAGCAGACACATAGTGTATTAGAATATCTGGTATAAAGATTTCCTGTTCATTGCTGCATCAATTATTCAGTTATTTTATGAATAGTCCTTTTATCTCTGTCAGGTCTTTGACAGAAGTGTGTTTGAAGCATTACCAGCCGAGCTGCGTTCCGAAGTTATGGAAGCCTACATGAACGAAAAATCAAATAGTGGTTTGTGCAATCCTAACAGCATGGATGATGATTTTAAGGAAGATGCAAAAACCTACAGATCTTTATTCAGACCTGATCGAGTAAATTCTCCCAAAAAGAAACAAGTGAAAATAAGAAGACCACCGAAGGTTAACCAGTACAAACAAACCACTAGGATCACTGATGTTCATGGTTTACAGAAGGTATTTACAGAAGTTCTAAAACTCATAACTGTGTATTCTGTCTCTTTTATATTCAATAAATTTGTAACATCTATGAATGTTATACTTAAAATTTTATTAACTGTACATATGTTACTTGTTATTGGACTAAAACTTAATTCTTAAGAGAACAATCTGAATTAAAGTAATGTCAAATTGTTCATTACAAATTTTGATATTACTGTCTTTGTTACTTTTATCCTTTTACTCATTAGTGTTAAAATATAGCTTGGATGTTAAGAAAGTCAATTTGTCGTTACTTTGATAAAGAATTCTTTAGTTGAAATAAAGAAAGCTTTTTATAGACTCTCTGCTTTATTTGATAGAATTGATCCCACACTTTTTGTTAACTTAATTCTATTTTGTCCTTTATTAATCCAAGCTGTTTGATAAGTCTAATAAATTAAGTTTTGTTTAAAAACAAAAATTGATGTCATTCCATTCTATAATCTACTTGTGATACAATTGATTTTCAGTGTACAGTTTTTCCTGTGGTGATAGGAAGCCAGAATTCATGTTTGAATGGATTTCTTTTTCTCGCTAATTCTGGACATTCAAAATTACTCACCAACTGCACAATTTTTGGTTCCTCCAATGGTGAAATCTTTTTTAGAATGACTTTTTGCCATTGATACTGAGAGATAAGATTCAAAATACATCAGCTACAACTTGTCATTATTCCAGTGATGATCATGAAGTCAGGAATTGTATTTAAAACTGTCAAACCTTTTAAACTATATTAAGACAATCATACTAACTGATAAGGTTTTCTGTATGTACTTTAACATTTAAATTCATTAACTAGTCTTTCCATCATTATCCTGACATTCACATCAACTGACAGATTTTTGTCCCCAACACACTTGACACATTTATACTAACCAACAACGCTTTCCATCTGTACTAACTAAATATTTCTGTACTGTTTTCTTTCATCCTTCACTGTTTGCAGAAAGATCTTGGTCCACCACATGGCAGGTAGAATTACAGTTGTCTTCCGATTACACAAATCATGCCAAAATTATTCTCAATAAAAATGAATAAGTGCAGTTAAGTGAGGTAATATCCATAATTTCACGAAGCTTGGTGATTATTTTGCTGGACTGTGTGTGAACCTGAAGATCCATGGTTTACCTCTCATTGTCACAAAATAATATCCCACATTTTGGAATACATTATAGTAGTGATAGTCTGACAAGAGTAGTCTAAGAGTTGGCACTTGGTGGTGTTGACTTAGATGTTGTCCTTCTAGTTTCAAATTCAGGAATTGCTAGCACAGACAGACACACACTATCTGTAACTTTGCTTGAACATCAAAAAAAAAACATTTTAGGAAATTTGTTTTTTCTCAAAGAATAAAACCATCAAGAATACAATTTTCATCATCTTGTTACATTTTCAGTGAATATAACCTTCTTCAAATACATGTTTTGTTAAGGTTAAAAAAACAAAACATTAAATTGTCAAAGTTATGAAACAAATGTGAACTTCCAATATGAGTAACTTTCCAATAATCTGAAAAGTACTCTTTTTTTGCTTTATTAAGATATAAAATACTGAATACAAGTTTAATAGGTTTGTTTTTCACTTACTGAATTATTTTAATGTTTTGTTACATTATACAAAGGCTTCAGATATACAAGTTTATCAGTTTATTAACCTGCTTTCATTAAAAATAATTTTTTATGGACAGCACATGCTAGTTCTACAATTAATATTGTCATTAGTAAGTGCTTTATTTATAACCATTGATATTCTGTAGCCAAAACAAAATTTCATTCTGTATACAACTTAGTCAATATATTCAAATAACTGCATACACTGTATAAGACTTACGGTAGTATTTCTTATTTGAAAAATAAAACTTTTTTTATTGGCATTTTAGGACTGTTAAGAGGCTTTCTTTATTTTCCAGAAGGTACATCCAGATGAGAGAATACAGGAAGTAATTAATGAAAATGTCTCTAACCTTCAGTGGACTCCTGCAAGCATCTGTGGGCAAACACAAATAGAAGATGTGAAATCTTTAATGAAAGAATGGATTGAGTCTACTCCAGGTTGATGATTTCAGTAAAAACTTGCACTTTTTTTTCTTTTATTCACTATTACTACCAGATATTGTCAGCAAAGTTCTGTAATTGGTGTCATTTTTAACATTAGAAATTATTGTACTAGAACATTTCAGCAATTTTAACATTTTATTTTTATTAGAAATATAAAACTTTGTACCTCGATCCGAATATTGATGTCACATGTACTATAGTTATCAGATCTGGACAAAAGTTTTTAGATCAGGAACTTGAGAGAGTAAAATATGTCAGTTGAAAATTACCATAGTTATCAGATCTGGACAAAAGTTTTTAGATCAGGAACTTGAGAGAGTAAAATATGTCAGTTGAAAATTACCATAGTTATCAGATCTGGACAAAAGTTTTTAGATCAGGAACTTGAGAGAGTAAAATATGTCAGTTGAAAATTACCAGTCTTGGACAGTTTTATGTGTTTTTGTTAAATCTACAAGTGCCAGTGGAAGGTAAGTTCCAATTATTCATTGATTTTTTAGAACAACACATTAGAAATCAATGAATAAATAAGGAATATAAACATATAGGTACGTGTCAACATACATCAACGATAAACGGTACAGAGCTTCTACATACACAATCTAATTTCTAAGTCACATGTGTTAGCTTCTTCATACATAATACGTACACAATCTAATTTCTAAGTCACATGCGTTAGCTTCTTCACACAAAATACATACACAATCTAATTTCTAAGTCACATGCATTAGCTTCTTCACACATAATACATACTCAACCTAATTTCTAAGTCATATGCGTTAGCTTCTTCATACATAATACATACACAATCTAATTTCTAAGTCACATGCATTAGCTTCTTCACACATAATACATAAACAATCTAATTTCTAAGTCACATGCGTTAGCTTCTTCACACATACTACATACACAATCTAATTTCTAAGTCACATGCGTTAGCTTCTTCACACATAATACATACACAATCTAATTTCTAAGTCACATGCATTAGCTTCTTCATACATAATACGTACACAATCTAATTTGTAAGTCACATGCATTAGCTTCTTCACACATAATACGTACACAATCTAATTTCTAAGTCACATGCATTAGCTTCTTCACACATAATACATACACAATCTAATTTCTAAGTCACATGCGTTAGCTTCTTCATACATAATACGTACACAATCTAATTTCTAAGTCACATGCATTAGCTTCTTCATACATAATACGTACACAATCTAATTTCTAAGTCACGTGCATTTAGAAATTGTATTTGAGAATAAAAGAAGGGACCTACAAATATCTGTGAAACTACTGAACTGTGATCTATTGTCTTTATCTACAGGATTTCAATAATCTCCAGGCAGTTAGAAACAACGAGTATTATTAAATTAAAAAGATATTTAATAAGTAGTAAAATACTTTTTGTATTGTAACTAGTAATTCACCAATTTGTTACATTCCTTATTGAACATTTAAAGTCAAAACACTAAAACAAGTTTACAAGTTTTGTAAGTATTCAGGTTCCAAGAAACTCCATCATAAAAAATAACATTCATATTTTGTTATGTTTCTTTTACTGTTGAAATTGTTGCATACAGGAGAATAGTACTTTCAGAAGCATTTGTTTATACTGTTATTGTAAACTTTTAGAACAACAAGGAATCTATCATACACACTGTACAGTTATATACATATCTTCCCAGCTTTCTTTTATTATTAGTTATATGTTACAGGAATCTGAACATTTTTAAATATACAGTAGTTAAATTACGGTGAATATGCTGAATGTGAAAACATATTTGTATTAATTATACCTGTAATTTACAGCCTGTTACAGGTATAATTACAGCCTGTTACAGGTATTAGACACAATGTGTAACTTATGTTGTACTCTTCTGTAAGTTATTTCTTGCATAAACTCACTTCTAACATAACGACCGCATACTGATCAAAATATTTACATACAATTATCATTCACTGTTTACCCCAGAGGAAGGAACGTGCTTGGTTTAGGAGGTTTCTCTTGTACTTAAAGATGGCAACAGCAGAGCAACAGGATACCACCTCATGATGTCAAGTTTAATTGAACTTCCTTAAGCATCCCAATTGAAGATCAGTACATAATATTATATGTTTGTTTCTTTTTTAAAATTGTAACTTTTAAAATAACACACATTTACAAGCAATAACAATGCAGAATTTGCAGTTTTAGAATGCAGAATTCTGCAGGGACTGTCACATACAACAACATTCCTGACCACGGCAGCTACATGTAGCCATCAGACCAAATATTAAACTACCCAAATACAGCAACGTTTCTAACCACAGTAGCTACATGTAGCCATCAGACTTAGTATTGAAATATCTGAGTCTTACTGTGGGGGATTTGTGTTACAGAGTCTTACTGTGGAGGTTTATGTTATGGAATGTTCATCTAAAGGTTTGTTTTAAGGAATTTTACAATAGAGGTTTGTGTTATAGAGTCTTACTGTGGAGGTTTATGTTATGGAATGTTCATCTAAAGGTTTGTTTTAAGGAATTTTACAATAGAGGTTTGTGTTATAGAGTCTTACTGTGGAGGTTTATGTTATGGAATGTTCCTCTAAAGGTTTGTTTTAAGGAATTTTACTATAAAGGTTTGTGTTATAGAATATTACTGTGGAGGTTTGTGTAACACAAACCTCCGCACTAAGTCTCTGTAACACAAACCTCCACAGTAAGACTATAAGAAAATCTTACTGTGGAGGTTTGTCTTATAGTCTTACTGTGGAGGTTTGTCTTATAGTCTTACTGTGGAGGTTTGTCTTATAGAGTCTTACTGTGGAGGTTTGTCTTATAGAGTCTTACTGTGGGGTTTGTTACAAAGGCTTCCTGTGGAGGTTTGTCTTAATGAGTCTTAATGTGAAGGTTTGTGTTGCAGAGTCTTAATGTGAAGGTTTGTGTTGCAGAATCTTAATGTGAAGGTTTGTGTTGCAGAGTCTTAATGTGAAGGTTTGTGTTGCAGAGTCTTACTGTGGAGGTTTGTGTTGCAGAGTCTTACTGTGGAGGTTTGTGTTGCAGAGTCTTAATGTGAAGGTTTGTGTTGCAGAGTCTTAATGTGAAGGTTTGTGTTGCAGAGTCTTACTGTGGAGGTTTGTGTTGCAGAGTCTTAATGTGAAGGTTTGTGTTGCAGTCTTACTATGGAGATTTGTTTTATGGAATCTTCCTGTGGAGGTTTGTGTTACAGAGTTTTACTGTAGAAGTTTGTGTTATGGAATTTGACTATTGTAGTTTGTGTTATGGAATTTTACTATAGTAGTTTGTGTTACAGATACAAATGCCACAATTCAGAAACATTATAACAACTATTTTTGCTACATTACACTTGGTTACTTCTTTATTCACTAGCCACTACCAAGGAGTCCTTTCATTCAATACCACAACTTGCCAGTTAGCATGGAGCACAATCACAGACGAAAGTTTTTATAATTAATTTTATTTGCAATATGTAATTTTTATCATAAATGTTAGGCCTATTGGATCCTTTGGCAGTTAAACACTATAACAGTATAATGAGGGTTTAATATACTTTCAACCACTTTTCACAGTGAACCTCATGACGTACAGGACAAACACTGACATGTTATTGTAGGTCTTGATTTCACAACATATTTGTGAAGGTTTCTCGAAAGATGAGCTGGGCATGGCTATGTGGTTAGTATTCTCAGGCTCTGATTCCGAGGATTCAAAGCTCGAGTACCATTACCACAAACACACACTCCACATTTTATGGCTCATGGTAGACTAAGAATAATGGCTAAACCTCACTGTTCAATCAAACAGGAGTTGCCCAGTAGTTAGTGGTGAGCTATTGACTAGTGTATCAAATATGTGCTAATAGCCCATCTGTAACTTTCTATAGATTTCTGAAACAAACAAATGAAATATTTTTATTTCCAACACAGAGCCAGAAGTTAAAGATATGGAAGTATTTGGTGATTACATACTAGATGTAGTGGAGGAAAGAGATTTGGAAAAATTAGATCTGTTGATCAAGTACTTTCACAGGTGAGGAAATTTCTAATATAGACATAATGGCCTTGTCGTAATTAAGACATCAACAGTTATTACATTTTGAGGACTATTAATGTCTCAGTAACTTGTACATAACTATGGTAGTGTTTGGATGCAAGGTAATGTTTTAGATCTTGTTTACCAGGTATCGTAATGGTTACTCTTGTAATATTATGGTTAATTAATAACAGGTGTAATAATTTGTAAATACTCTACAGTAATTATTAATCATATTTTAGTGGATATTGTATTTTCTGAAAAGTTAAGACCTTTTGGATTTCCAGTAAAGTTGATAAATACATCATTTATTTTACCTTGACATTGTCATTCATATAACAGTTCATTGAGTACAAGAGGTAAAAAAGGTGTGTTTGTAACTAGAGAATGTACATGTTCTGTGACAGTATTTTATCTAGTAATTCCAAGAACTAATGAGTGAAAACAAGGTTAATATATCCATTGGGTTTTAAGCATTTTCTTCATATGTTAGTCTCATTGTTGTTTAATCACGTGTAGCAGAAATACATGAATGTATATTAGTTTTAATTTTTCATTCTTTATATGCATTTTTTCTTTATTTTTCAGGTTAGTGAAAAGAATTCAAAAACCTTCCTGGGAAGATGTGTACATGTCAGTTGTTAACAAAATGCAATCCAAAGTTGTACAAATGTATGGATGTGCTCTACAGATTGATGTATTTTGACTAATGTACAGTGTTTGAAATTAGTTTTTATGTCCTATATGAAATTTATCCTGGGTAATGTTTGTACAAAAAAACTGCTGTCTTTTTGCTTGTATTTATTTTGAATCACATTTTAAAAATATTATTTTAGTGTATTTAATATTTAACTTGTACAATAACTTGACTGTGCGGTATTTCCTGTCAAAAAGTGTTTTCTTGCTGAGCAGTCAGCTAGGCTCACTAATTGGAAGTTTGGAGAATACCAGATTAGAGATTATATTGGTCTCTCTTATCTATATCTAGGATAATCTAGAACAGTATTTCTCAACCACTGGTCCATGGGCTGGTGACAATTAATGACAACCTTCTTGCCAGCCTGTGAGATTTCACAAAAACAAAATTTATGTTGTAATTCAATGATGAGGAACCCACTTTGAGACTAATAATGGCTGGAGATGGCTTGAATGGGTAATGAAGAAAACTCTAATATAAGTTTAACATAACA